GCTCGCCTTAAATCCATCAGATTACTTTTAGGAGTTACCTGTATTATGAAATTCAAGCTGCTTCAGATGGATGTTAAAAGTTCCTTCTTAAATGGATACCTAAATGAAGATGTCTATGTGGAACAACCTAAGGGATTCATTGATCCAAATTTTCCCAATCATGTTTATAAGTTGAAGAAAGCTCTGTATGGACTAAAGCAAGCTCCAAGAGCTTGGCGTGAGAGATTAACAAAATTTCTTATTGATAATGGATACAGAAAATGTGTCATAGGATTGGTGCAACAAATTGGGTACCTACCAATCATACTTCCACCATTGTTGTTAGGTTAGAAAGGTTTATATTTGTTGTTGGTACAAAGGTGAAGTTTGACTATGGTAGCTACATTTTTTATCAGATTGTGAAGCATACTACTACCAATGCAGTCAAATTGCCAATTGCATTTCCTTCACTGATTTGTGGGATCATTCTAAGCTAGTATCCTGGGATCCTCTCTAGTAATGATGTGGTTTGCAAAAGGGAATTTGTGTTGTCTCTCCATTATAAATTATTTGCAAGAAGACATGTCTCAGACATTGTCTTGACATCTGTTGAGAAGACACCCTCTACCAAGACTGGGTTTATCTCTGAGTTGAAGGAAACTTGCATAGATTTGGGAGAAGTCATTCGTGTATCTACTGCAAGGAAGCTGAAATTAGAAGCCTTGATTAGAAGTCTGGAGCAGGTTGAAGGGGATAATGTTGAGGAAGTTGGGAGGAGGTTTCTACCTCTGATGAGAGGAATAACAATATTGAGGGTCATGATTTTGGGTCTACTTCTGGTGATGACGGTGACAACTCTGGTTCTGAGGAAGAAAGTTGATGGTGCTTGTTTATGGTACTCTTTGAATGGTGTTTGTTTCTTTTTTTTGGAATTTTATTTTAGCACTTAATGTGCTTTGGCTTGTAATTTTTTTTTGGTTTCATTCTGATCTTTTAACACTGTTGGCTCTGTATGATTGTTCTATGATACTGGTTTTCTCTGACTATTGACATATATGAGATTTTTTGGCTAAAAAGGGGGAGAAGTAGTGTTGTTGCAAGTAGTGTTGTTGCTGCTGTTTCTGGGTTGAGGGGGAGTATTTTTTGGTGTTATGGTATGGACTTTGGTTTGAGGGGGAGCTTTATGTTTCTTTGTGACTGTTAGGCTTTCCTGTGTTTTTTCTACTGCTGTTGTGCTCTCTGATGTGTTCTGGTAGCTCTTGTGATCAATTGGTTGTTTTAGCCAAAATTTGCCAAAGGGGGTTTGTTAGTTATGTGATTGGCAACAATTTTGGTAAAACTTGGTGTAATCACAAGATGTCCTATATGATGTCTTGACATGTGATCTTAACATTCTGCAAGTGGTTCTTTTTGTTGTTGCAGTATTTAGTTTATGATGTCAAGTATGATGTCCTGACATATGTTTACAAAACATTCAGTCAGAATGTTATGTTTTGTCTGTTGCATTTTTGTGCAACCTTTTATGCTTTTCTGGTAAGAGATATTGCTGATGCAATCAAGGTGGAGATTGTCTTTAAAAAAAAAAGAGTTTTTGCTGTATAATTCGTGGAGTTATTTTGGAATCTTTTGTCCTATGTTCATGCAGAAAATCTTGAGGAGATTTGAAGCTTGATTTGATTTGATTTGATCAAATCTGATTTTGTTCTATTTTTATTATGAAAAGATTTGATGAATTGTCTAATTTGAACATCACTACAACATACACTACAACACCATACATCAAATATAGTGAACAAATCCAACCACAGCTACAACAACAACAACTCAGACATTCACCGCGTCTCCAAAAGCAAGAAACAGCGAGAGAGAGATTCGCGATAAAGAAGGTATGAGATGAAAAAGAGAGAGACACGGAGGAGAAGAAGCCACCGTGATCAAAAGGACCGCCGTCGTGAGAAAACATGGGAATTGAGAGAGAAACACACAAGTTGAGAGGCACTACGGCGGAGGAAAAGAGTGTATCTGGTTTTTGAGTTTGAGGAAATTACATTAGATTTTATCAAATCCTTTTATTTATTTCATTTTACATTTTTTTTCTTCTGATTTTTTATACTATTGGGCTTTTTGAGCCCATAGATGTTTTTTTTTAAAGGGAATATATATCTATATTTTTTTTAGAAGTTGGTCATTTTAATAAATGTTTTTTTAATATTTGAAATCTCCCTTTTTTTAAGATTTATTCTTTTTAGAATTGTTAAAATTTGTTTAAATTGATTAGTCTAGATGTTTTATTTAATTAAAATCTTTAAAAAAAAATATTTTCTCAATTAAGTTGCATATTAATCTTTTTGATTTTTGGTTTCTTTTAGAACTTATTTGTTTAGATTTCATTCATCTATATTTTTTAGCTCTTGTTAATCGATTATTTTAACCATGCCATTACTCATCATCTTGTGTTTATCATCGTGTCATTTACACTCTTGATCATCATTATTTGCTTTCGCTCATGACTTATGCATCACACTTTTTTTTATCATATTGTTCCTCTTTGCCTGATTCTATTTTATATCTGGTGCTTTCACGACTTGATTTTATTTCCTCGTATTGATTGCATATTCCTGATCCCAAAGAAAGGGATCCCATAGTTGACTGTCATGTCATGTTGGATAGCCTTGTCTATCTTTCCCCCGAGACCTTGTGAGAGTCTTGCCTGTTGTAACCTAGTTCAGGTTTGGAGTTGTTGCACTCTGTGTAAGTATCATGGTTATGGACACTTACTTTCCCCTTGGAACTTTGATTGTTTTCAAGAGTTCCTCACCCCTCACTAGCTGAACTACAGAGACTCTGATTCCTCTTTCCTAGTTAGAATACGTAGGCACAAGATACGATATCTTGTCGAGCCCTCTAACCACTAACAACTAACACTTAACACTTATCTCCCTCCTTTTGGTCTAGTTAGAACCAATTGGTCTTGCAACTTAGAATTATGTTTAGAGTTGGTAAACTCTAGGTGAGTATCATGGTTATGAGTACTCACTTTTCCCTTTGACTTTGGTTAAAGTCAACCCTAGTTAGGTTAATTTTCAACTTAGATTTAGAGAGTTGGTTAACTATATGTAAGTATCATAGTTATGCATATTTACTTCCCCTTGGAACCTTGACCACAGTCAAGAGTTATATTTAGTGTATATACCATAGGTCTTTACCTTAACACATTTATCTTAGCAAGCAACTTTAACATAACACAAATACTAACAAGAGGTTCCTGTAGAGTACTATAGATACTTAGGATGCTAACATCTTCCCTAGGTATAACCAACCCCCGAACCTTAGATTCTCTTAGCTGTGTTGTTACATAGCGCACTTAGGGTTTTCTTCAATTTTTACCCTTTCCTTTGGATAAATCAAAACTCGCTGGTGAACTTCCTGATTTGTGATTCAAGTTAATTAATAGCTTAATATCCGATTCTCATCGCAACACAGACACACCAATATTAATTTTTTTTTATAAAATTAGAATCAATAAAAGTGAAAAATCATTATGAATTTCTTCCAGAAAATCTCTATTATTATTCTTATTCTTAACAGTAGTGCACAAAACGTTATCGATTGCAGTAGCTAACCTTGGGTGTGGTTTCATATTAAAATATGTTGCAGAAAACATTTTTATATGTTGTTTTTCAATTACAGCAGTGCCCAACCTTGTTATCAACAATAACTCCATTTCAATTAAAGCATATCTTGGCTCAAGTTAAAATTTTGTAATTTTTATTAGAATTTTGATGATCTTAATGATGAATAGATGTCACGCGTGCGAACATAGTTGTGTCAATATATGCTTTAATTGAAATAGAGTTACTGTTGATAACAAGGTTGGACACTGCTGCAATTGAAAAACCAACATATAAAAACATTTTCTACAACATATTTTAATATGAAACCACACCCAAAGTTTGCAATCGATAACGTTTTGTGCACTATAGTTAATAATAATAATAATAATAATAATAATAATAATAATAATAATAATAATAATAATAATAATAATAGAGATTTACTGAAAGAAATTCATAATGATTTTTCATCCTTGTTTATTCTAATTTTATACTTTCTTTTAATATTGGTGCTTGGATATGTTAGTTTTATTTAGAGATTTGATATGGGCATGTCATAGAGGAGTTTGAGAATGATAAGAAGAATGGTGTGTTTAAGAAATAAAAATAAAAATATATATCTCATTTGTAAATTAAATCATTAAAGGTAATGCAACTTAATGCTTCAACCAAAATGACATTGATTTGAGTCTTAACTTAAGGCAATTTTTTTGAATTTTTCTTGGAATTTTGATAATCTTGATGATTAGATGCCACACGTGCAAATAGTAGCCCTGTCAGATGTCACGCGTGCAAAAATGAACGCCATTTGTAAAAATTGGACGAAAATAACTTAAATAATACAAATTGAATACACAAAGGAGTGCATGTTAAGGAACTAAAAAGGATGTTTAGCGAAAATTAAATGCACAAAATTGAACCAAATCCTATTAAATTTTAATAATATTAAAAAAAAAAAATATTTTTTCATTTTTATAATGAAGTTAATAACCGGAGTTGACGTTGAAACAGAGAAAATTAAAAGAGTGTAATCATAATAATTTTATAAAAAAAAGAAAAGCGTCGGAATATTCGAAATTCCGATTCCTTCTAGTAATCTTCTCCTAATGTCATTCATTACATAGCTCCGCTGAACTTAACGTTAACCTTTTTTAGACTCAAATCAGGGGTAACCCCGGGTTTTCAACATTTTTCCATGTAAAAACAAACCAGCGGCTCGATACTAACAACTACTACTACTTTACGGTTTACCCCTTCCCCAAGCACAAAAATGTCACGTGACACGCATGCCCCCATCGTTTTCTCTTACACAACCCTTTTAAATAGCCTCACCCATCTCTTGTTTTCTCCACCAAACCACACTCTAATCTCCTTCATTATTTCTCCACAACTTTTCAACTCAATATCATGGGTATGTATTCATGCATTCTACTTTTTCTCATTTTTAACAGCTTTTTTTAATCCATAATCACTTTTTCATTTCTCACTTTTTCATTTTCACCAGCATCTGACAAGAAGATCAGGATCGGTATCAACGGTAATTCAATTTTCACTTTTCACATTTCTACTTTCAGCTTTTTTTTTTCTTTGACCTGATTTTGTTTTCTTACTCGATTATCTTCTCTTCTGTAAACAGGATTTGGAAGAATCGGTCGTTTGGTTGCAAGAGTTGCTCTTCAAAGAAACGATGTTGAACTCGTTGCCATCAACGATCCTTTCATCACTACTGATTACATGGTAAATTACTTTTTTCCCTTGATCCGATTGAACTCGTTCCGATTTCGCTGCTGCGTCTTATAATGCGTTTTGTTTCTCTATTTGCAGACATATATGTTCAAGTATGACTCTGTTCATGGCCAATGGAAGCATTTTGAACTTAAGGTTAAAGACTCTAAAACCCTTCTTTTCGGTGAGAAAGAAGTTGCTGTTTTCGGAACTAGGTAATTATTATAATTTTAACTTTTTTGTTTGATTTTAAAAGTTAAATCTAAGCTTTGTGATTCTGGATCTGAAAATTTTAATTTCATGTTCCTTTTTAATGTAATTAGTTAGTTAATTAATGTGATTGTATTTGAATATTAGGAACCCTGAGGAGATCCCATGGGGTGAAGTTGGAGCTGACTTTGTTGTTGAGTCTACTGGTGTTTTCACTGACAAGGATAAAGCTGCTGCTCATTTGAAGGTTCATTACATTGATCTATTATTCACAATCATTTTATTGATAATTAATTAATTTCATTACTTGAGTATTAAGAATTTATTTAGAATGTTATTAATTAGATTAGATGTTTATGAAGATTATTCAGTGATTTGGACTATGTGTAATTTGGAATTGTGGTTGTGATTAGGGGGGTGCCAAGAAAGTTGTCATTTCTGCCCCAAGCAAAGATGCACCAATGTTTGTTGTTGGTGTTAACGAGAAGGAATACAAATCAGACCTTAACATTGTTTCCAATGCTAGCTGCACTACCAATTGCCTTGCTCCCCTTGCCAAGGTTATCAACGACCGATTTGGAATCGTTGAGGGTCTTATGACCACTGTCCACTCCATCACAGCTACTCAGAAGACTGTTGATGGTCCATCAAGCAAGGACTGGAGAGGTGGAAGAGCTGCTTCCTTCAACATCATTCCCAGCAGCACTGGAGCTGCCAAGGTATGTATATAAATTCATGGTTTGACAGTATGAATTTTATTGCAATACTCTTGTTGTTTCTAACCATTGAATGTTGAATTTTGGGTTGAACAGGCTGTAGGAAAGGTTCTTCCAGAACTAAATGGTAAATTGACTGGAATGTCATTCCGTGTGCCTACCGTTGATGTTTCGGTTGTTGACCTCACTGTAAGGCTTGCAAAGAACGCAACCTATGAACAGATCAAAGCTGCAATCAAGTAATGTTTTAAGCTTGAGACCCTTAAATTTGACCAATTGAATAATTTTACTCTGTTAACACGATCTATTTTGTTGAAATGTCATAAACCAGGGAGGAATCAGAGGGCAAGCTCAAGGGTATTTTGGGTTACACCGAAGATGATGTTGTATCTACTGACTTTGTTGGTGATAGCAGGTAATGTTGATTTTTGAAGCAACTTTAGTCTTCGTTGAAGATAAACTGTCATGATCAGTTTTTGATGTTCCCACCATCTAATGGTTACTCTGTCTGAATTTTTCTTTGAATTTCAGGTCTAGCATATTTGATGCCAAGGCAGGAATTGCTTTGAATGAAAACTTTGTGAAACTTGTTTCTTGGTATGACAACGAATGGGGATACAGGTATAACTCTACTGAGACCTTACTGTCACAATATAGCATTGAATACACAAGTTTTACTGTTACTGATGAAATTTTGTTTTTTGTTGTTGCAGTACCCGTGTTATTGATCTGATTGTCCACATTGCTTCTGTGGCTTGATGAGTCTGACCTTGGATTGCATTTTTGTCTCCCTGAAGATTTATCAGCATACTGTGAATTTCAATTATAAATAAAATTGTGTTGCTGTGAGTGATGTCACTAAGACACAAAGTGTCTGCGTTTTTTGTTTGTATTTCAAATTAATAGACGGCCTTAGGTTTTTCCTCCTCTTGTTAAAGAGATGAATGGTTTTTTCCAGTTTGGTAATCATCTTAATATAAGCAATATTTTGGTTGATATTTCTCTTTTTGTTCTCTTCCTCTAGTTTATTTAAGTTGAGTTTTGCTCGCTGATAAATCCAATTGTTTTAAATTTGTTTTGAAAAATTGCTAACATAGGTGGTTGTATACAGACTTTAGTTAAATGTTTGGTTCATTTCGGATCATACAGTAATTGATAATATTTGAACATTTTAATTTGGAATTTTTAAAGCCCAATTCAGCTCTTTAACTTATACAAACCTTGTTATAAATAAATAGTCCTTTTGGTTCATTTCGGATCATACAGTAATTGATAATATTTGAACATTTTAATTTGGAATTTTTAAAGCCCAATTCAGGTCTTTAACTTATACAAACCTTGTTATAAATAAATAGTCCTTTTGGTAAGATCCTGGTAAGAAAAAAAAAGAGAGTTTTTTTTTTTTAAAATTTTTCAGGTCACAAAAATTCTATTGGATAATTGTCTTTTAGGTTAGTATATCAACATTCATTACACTCAATTGAGTTCTTAAATTGGGCTCATTTAATTTTTTATACTATTAGACACTTTCCAATTATTAAATAATCTAAGTATGTTTTCTAAATATTTATACCACTTATAAATACTCAAAATAGGTCCACTAAACACTACAATATAATACACATTTAATTATTTATATTATTTTTCTTCCAACTCATGCGAATATGAAAATGGTCCTGAACTAAAAGCACGACATATTACAAGCAAATATCCAAGGATTCTTTGAAAAGTGTGAAAACACGGTGAAATCCAACCCATAATTATGCTCTAAAAGTTTTTTACTTTTTTTTAAAAATTTATTTATAGTAGTTTTTGAATTTGTAATTTTTAGCTTATGATTTTTTTTCATATTTGTATTCTCACTATTTAATCAAAAACCTATTTTATCTTTTATATATTATTATGATTTAAATTAAAATAACTGCATTTTAATTAAGGAAATAAAAAAGATCAGTTTTTATTTTTACAAAATAAATCAACAATGCAATTCATCTTTATTTTGTTTATGTAGTTTCAACTCAATCTTCCTCCAATCTCATTTTCATTTTTACACATATATTTACCGTCAAATAATAGTTCTTTATCTCTTATTTTTATTTTGGATTAATAGTATTTACCCCTACTATATAGAAGTGTTCTGCTGTATCTCCTGTAATTTTGTTTTTGGTGTAAAAACACCATTGACATTTAAAAATTCTGATTGTTTAAATCTTGCATGAAAATGACATATACCATGAATAGATGTGGCATGCTTAGTGACATTTTTTTTCTTAATTGCCACCTGGCCACACTTAATGCCTAATCAATATATGAGCTATTTAGAAATTACAGAAAATACTCTATCCCATAAACAATGAATTTGAAACCACCTTCAAAATCGGTTAAAATAAAAAGGTGTCCCTAAAAAGGTTAAAATGACACGAGTGATAACTCCACGAGACGACTTCCTTCATACTTTGAACATGTCGATTCACACTTTCTGGATTCTCCTAATCCTAAATTCCAAAAGAGTGTTTTCAAGGGTGTTATCATTAGCAAACCATCTCACTCACCACCATTATCAAAAATCATCCACGTTGAAGATATGCTGCTATTTATGCACAAATACAGTGAGTGGATTTTAAATGTTGGAGGTGATGGCAACCGTGGTTTTCGAGCTATTTCAGGTTTGCTCGATAAGGGAGAGTGTTTACTGTGAAATTTGGTAAACAAATACAAGTTTCTATTAATACTTAAGAGATCAAACTCGAAAATCTCTCGGACATGTTTGTGTGTGTGTGTGTGTTATCCATGAAAATCATACAACCCGTCGAAGTTAAAGTAAACTTCTTGAAAACACTTTAAAAAGATGCTTGTAGAAGTTATTTGTGAATAAGAAAACGATCGAAGTAAACAAAATGCAAGTAAAGTGAAGGAATTTTTATTTGAAATCGAGAGAGATTGAATGCAGAAAAAAGAAAAGGTTAAGATCAAAGTGCATGGAATATAAAATGGCACGAAAGGTAAAGGAAATCGAAAAAGACTCTAATACGTAAAGGAAAGGCTTTTAAAGTAAAGTTGCTGAAAATGTATAAAACGATGGAACACATATGTACATTTTTCTTCACTCGTTTCTCATAACGCAGGTACTTTGAGTGTTACAGAAATGTGTACAATTTATGGATCCTTTACCAAATGAACATAAGTATCTTTATATACTACTCTAAAATAACCGTCCAAGAAGGATAAATCACTCCCATGATGACACATCCTAAGTTTTTGTAGCGGTTTCCCCCGACGTGTCCCACAGTTTCTAAGTAACCGTCGACGTTGACGTAGTTTCCACCTTATTTTATTATTTGAATTTCTCAACTACTTTGCTGGCGCCAAGAACTAGCTATGCCCGTCGAGGCCTTCGACGTCGATCTCGCCAGCAAGCATGCTCCATTAGATTATCCATTATAGTGATGTACCCCACATGTAACATCCAAGTCAACATTGTTTCCATTATAGTGATGGACTCCACGTCTGGTGACTGAGTCGACATTACTTCCATTATAGTGATGAACTCCAACCTTAGCCAACAGAGCATAGTATTCAATTTCACTAAGTCCCTAAGTTCTTCACTACGTCCTTCGACCATGCCACCTTCGACCGGTATCACCCTATGTGGATCCCGACCTTGAGTCAAGCTAATTATGTTGACTCACTCTCTTTTTGATCTTCCACGTGGCATACCTATGGCTAGTCTCACGAATAATTGTCATTTATAGTCAAGTAGAAAATCCAGTGTAACAAATTGCCCATACTGAGTTAACGGAAGTGCTAACTTGGAAAAGCCTTCAAAAAACATGCGGTAGTAACCAACCAAGCCCAAAAAGCTTCTAATCCCTATAACCGACTTTGGAGCCTCCCATTGTAATTCTGCATCTACTTTGGACGGATCCACATTTATACCATCACCTGAAATAACATGACCAAGAAAGCTAACTTCTTGTAACCAGAATTGAAACTTGGACAACTTGGCATAAAGCTTCTTCTCTTTCAACACTTGCTACACAACTTGCAAATGCTAAACATGTTCTTCTTCTAACTTAGAATAGATCAGAATATCATCAATGAAAACCACCACACACTGATCTAGATAAGTATGAAATATACGATTCATATATTCCATAAACACTCCAAGTGCATTAGAAACGCCGAACGACATCACCAATTATTCATAGTGCCCATACTGAGTTCTAAAATTCGTCTTCTGAATATCCTCATCCTTCACCCAAATCTGATGGTAACCCGACCTCAAGTCAATTTTTCTAAAAACACGTGCACCCACCAGCTGATCCATCAAATCATATATTCTCGAAAGTGGATTCTTGTTCTTGATTGTTGCTTTATTCAATTTTCAGTAATCCACACACAACCTCATACCACCATCTTTCTTCTTCACTAATAACACCAGAGCTCCCCAAGGCGACACACTTGGTCTCACAAATTTCTTTTCTAGAAAATATTCTAATTGTTTCTTCAACCCTGTTAACTCCGAGGTTGTCATCTTATATGGTACCTGTTGCGGTGAAAATTTGATATCAAGCTATTAATTAACTTGAACCTTATTTCTTTTACAACCGGTCTTTAATTTATCCAAAGGATAGGTCTAAAGAAAGAAAGAACCTTTTGCGCGATGTGACAACAACGCTTTTAAGAGATTCGGGGATTCGGGGGTTGGTTATATCTAGGGAAGGTATTAGCACCCTAAATATCTGTAGTACTCTACAGGAACCTTTTGTTTAATTAATTGCTAAAGTTTGTGAATTGTGCACTATGGTTTGAGTTGGGAATAAAAGTAAAATAAAGGCCTAAGTGGTTTTCTAAGTTTGCTCGCAAAGGTATCGCACCTTCTGCCTACGTATCCTGACTAGGATAGAATCAGAGCAATCGTAGTTCACCTCACAAGGGAAAAGAACACTTGATGATGATCAAGGTTCAAAGGGGAACAAACATGACGATGTTTGTGTGGAGTTTGACAAAACTCCCTAAACTAAATTGTAAAAAGGGGAAGTGAGAAATCATGACGATGATTCTTACACAGAGTTGACGAACTCTTTCCTAGGGTTCTAGTTGAAGAACACTCCTAGTATGGGTGGGTTTCTTAGACTTCAAGCAAAGTCTAAAGGCTTCTAGTCTAGGGTTAAGGTGACTTAACAAAGTCAAGGGATAGCAGAGATTTTGGTCCAAGACATTGACAGTCAAGTGGACAGACCCTCCTTTGGAGGAACAGTATTGTCGGCAACTGGACGAAAGCTAACGAGCTCCGTCGCTTAGGGATAAAATAAAATACAAACATCATTCAAACATTCATGGTGACAACTAAATACAAAGATTAAAGATGGAAAGCAATGATGACAATCAGAGCAATTGTTTTGGTACGAGAACCGTGACGACAGTTCGCACCTGGAATACCGTTAACAGACAAATGAGATAAATATAAAAATAATTCAAGGTAAAAATTCTAACATGTTGACAAACATATATAGACATGATAACAATCAATTTTCCTGAGAAAACACAAGAGGAAACCTTCTAAATTTCATCTGCAACCAAATAGGGTTAGTACCGTTGACGCGCGGATTGCGCACCATAAAACGTGGTGAAAAAATAATCAAACATGGAAAATAAAAATATGACATGAAAGTACACATTAAAATAAACACAATGAAAAAAGAACGGGTGAAAAACGATAAAAAATGAGAGAGTTACGAATTTTTGAAGTTTATGTA